TTTGTGGTTATAACCTTGTGTGTGTGTTCTTGTGTCTGCGATATGTTTAATTAAATTGAAGTTGCAATATTTTATCAAGGTCATAAAACATGATCACCTAATTTTTAAAAATATTCCATAAGTTTATTATTTTTGAATTTGTATTTTAAGGTCCCTGTGTGTTCTTCCTTAAAATAAGCAAGACACACCAACATTGGGCTTTCCTAGCAGGGCCACGAACAGTACGCACTGCACATCAGTGAACTGTACAGAAACTCACAAATTATCCAATCCACCGTCCACTTGAAGTTTTCCCCGTCAGATCTGTTGTCGTTTTCAGTAAACTAAGATTATTAACCTTAAAAAGGCAAAAGCGCAGAAAAAGCGAAAATACTGTCTCAATTCAAATTTAATCAGATAAATTATAGTTTGCCACGTGTACAATCTTATCCATTTCTTGAAGAGGACCTCTTTATCTTCTTCAAATAGAAAAAGAAAACCTCACAATTTCTTCATCTTTCTACTAAAAAAATTCATCAATGTCTACCACATTTTCACCGATCCTTTGCTCCGCTGCTCCAGCAAACTCAAGGAAACCCGATCCGTTTCGTAAATCGGCGGCGGGTGCCAATTCGAACAGCTGGTGGACGCCGATCTTCGGGTGGTCTTCTGCACCCGATTACATCCAGGGATCCGGTACTAGTTCTTCCAAGAGCGAAGATTCGGGCCGGATCGGGTACGAAATGGGAAGATCCAGATCCGACAAGTTATTCCGGGGATGTTTCACGGCAGAGAAGGCGAAGGAGCTCAGGAAGAAGACCATTGAGACCTCGACTTTTCACGATATTATGTATCACTCTGCAATCGCCTCCAGGCTTGCGTCCGACGTTTCTGACCGTTGATTTTCCGGTGATGCCTATCAATAATCAATCCGTCGACCAAAAATCGTTTCACGTATATGTGAACCTGTATTTCTTTTCTTTTTAATTTGTAGGAACAAGGTTGTGTTTGGCTGTAATCAAAGACCCTTATTTGGATCCGTTGGCATGTATGCTTGATCAATGATCAATGTGTTGTTCGTTAATGAATCTGGATTATTATTGTGATTACCTCTTTTGCATTTTGATCTACGAAACAAGATTCTAACTTCTATTTGGGTTCTTGAGGGACAGTAGAGCTTTAATTGGAAAGCGCAAGCTCGACTACTACAGTTAAGGTCAAAAGGCCAATGAGTAGGATGCGTATGAGGTCTTTTCTGGGTTCATGGTTACTTTTTGAGAAATAACGTAGTTTTCAGACATTGCCACTTTGCACACTTGGGTCCTATTCAGAGGCGGAGGTGGCCCCCCCCCCCCCCACCCAATTTTTGACAAAATTTTTTTTTTTTTTAATTTTTT